ACTTAGAAGCAACCAAGATGCCCTCCAGTAGGCAAATGGATAAAGAAATGGGTCCATCCAGATGGTGGTATATCATTCAGCCTTAAAAAAATGACCTACCAAGCCATGAAAAGGCAGAGAGGAACATCAAGTGCAGTTAGTAAGCCAAAGAAGCCAATCTGAAAAGGCTATGTATTATAGATCCCAACCTTCTAAAAATGGCAAAATTGTGGAGACAGTGCCAAGGTTATTGATTGCCAGGGGTTACGGGAAAGGGAAGGATGATTGGCAGAGCACAGAGGGTATTTTAGACAGTGAACTACCCTATATATGATGCTATAATGGTGGATACATGCCATTACATTACGTATTTATCTTAGTCCATAGAACATAGGACACGGAGAGCCCCTCCCAGCGTAAACTGTGAACTCCAAGTGATAGTGACGTGCCCGTGTGAGCTCATAGTTGTTAACAGAGGCTCTACTTTGGAGTCGGGGGGTGGGGGGGGTGGGGGGATGTTGGTGACAGGGGAGGCTGTGCGTGTATCAGGGCAGGGAGAATATGGAAAATCTATACTTTGTGCTCAGTTTTACTATTATCTGCTCGTAAATTCAATTTAAAAAATGCAGAAAGGGAAGAAACCAAAATGCTAAATGTCATATTAAAAAAAGTCCCCACCCCATCTATTGATTTAGTAATGGTCTTTCACAACTCCACCCAGTTCCCCAGCTCCTCAGGTGGTCCCAGGAAGCAGAGGCCTTGCAAACACAAACCTTTTCTTCTGGGGCCCCTCTGTGCCCTGAACTCCCAGAGCCGTCTCTCTGTGGGGAGAAGGTGGGCTACCTTCATCTCGAAGCTGCACCCAAGAAGGGGCTCTGCTCCTGCTGGCGAGCTGGCCTGTGGATTTGTTGGTGCCCCAGAATCTGAGGACACTAAGTTTGAGGATGAGCAGAGTGTGTTTGTCCTTCCTTCCTCTTAACTCTCTTAGCCCTTATAAGTGTTAAGGGGGACTGGGAAGGTCACGGATGAAGAGTGAGCCTGACCTTGGGCTTTCTGCTTCATCTTTGAACTTTGTTTTCTTCATCTGCAAAGTGATGATTTATCCGCGGCAGGACTGTTGTTCAATGAAGAAGCTGTGTTGTCTAGCACAGTGTTTGGCATGTAGGATGTTTAATAAATGCACACTCCACAGATGAAAGGATGGGGACTGGGTTAACCCCTCGCCCAAAGCAACTCCAAGTAGAAAGAACAAATAAAATTCAGGCACAAGGATAAAATAGAGTGTCAAGACACAACATCAGGGAAGGAAGGACAGGAACTTTCCAGAGCTGAGGCCCTGCCGTCACCTTGAGGGGACTTCCAGGCTTTGGCACTGGGAGAGGGGAGGCAGAGCTGGCAGATCCCCCTGGTAGAAATGGAGCTGAGAGTCTAGGAAGACTAAGGTGGAGTTTGTAGGAGTTTGTAGCAAGAGCCATTAAAGCACTTATATCCAGAATATATAAGGAATGATCAAAGCTCAAAAACAAGAACAAAAGGCGCAAAGGATTTTTTTTTTTTTTTGTGTGTGTGTGTGTGTGTGTGTGGTACTGGGGATCAAACCCAGTGGTGCTTTTCCCCTGAGCTGCATCTCAAGCCCTTTTTATTTTATAAGTAGCCTGGGCTGGCTTCAATTTGTGATCCTCCCACCTCAGCCTCCCAAGTTGCTGGGGTTACAGGTGTGCGCCACTATGCTTGGCAAAAGATTTGAACGGATACTTCACTAAAGATATAGGAGGGCCAGGCTGAGGCAGGAGGAGAACAAGTTCAAGGCCAGCTTCAGCATTTGGTGAGACCCTGTGTGGAAAAGGGCTGTGGTTATGGCTCAGTAGTAGAGGACCTCTGGTTCAATCCCCAGTACTACACACGGACATGTGCATACACACAGAGAATAGGAAGACATGGCAAATAAGCACTTGAAGATGCTCATGCACAACAGTTACTAGAGAAATGCCAATTAAAACCTCACTGAGAACCCACTATGTACCTATTATAATAGATAAAAACTGTCTACACCAGGAGTTGGAAGGATGTGGAGAAATTGCAACACTAATAAACTGCCAGTGGGAATGTAAAATGGTTGAACCTTTTCAGAAAACAGTTGGGTAGTTTCTTAGGAAGTTAGCTATATACTAGCCATAAGACCCGGCCATTCTTAGCTCCAGAGAAAAGGAAATAATCTGTCTGCTTTAATCAGCTTTTTTTACTGCTGTGACTAAAAGACCTGACTAGCACAATAGTAGAGAAGGAAAGTTTACGTGAGGGCTCATGGTTTCAGACGTGTTAGTCCATAGAAGGCTGGCTCTATTCCTCCGGGCTCGAGGGAAGGCAGGACATCATGGTGGAAGAGTATGGAAGAGGGAAGCAGCTCACATGACGAACAGGAATCAGAAAGACACCACTTGCCAGATACAAATATATTCCCCAAAGCCACGCCTCTAATGCCCACCTCCTCCAGCCACACCCTACCAGCCTTTGGTTACCTCTCAGTTATCCCAATCTCAGGGGATTAATTCACTGATTGGGTTAAGATTCTCACAACCCAATTATTTTTCCTCTGAACTTTCTTCCATTGTCTCACATGTGAGCTTTTGGGGGACACCTCACATCCAAACCATAACAATGTCCATGCAAACATTTGAATGCAGATATTGATAGCGGCTTTATTTGTAATAGCCCCAAACTAGAAGCATCCTGTGTGCGCATCAACATGTGAATGGATAAACGAAATGTGCTGTGTCCTTATAATTCAATACTGTGTGGCAATAAGAAGGAATAAACTATTGATACACAAAAGAACTTGGATATATCTCAAAATAATTATGCCAAGCGAAAGAAACCAGATGAAGAGGAGTACATGTTCCAGATTCCACTTACAGGAATTCTCGACAACACAAAGTAATCTGTGATGACAGAGGGGAGCAGCGGTTGCCCGGGGACAGGAGAGGAAGGAGCTTGGGCTTGCAAAAGGCCCACAGAGCTGTGGACTCGGTGCTGGGTGTGTTTACTATCCTCATTGTAGGGTGGTGATTTCACAGGTGCATGCAAATGTCAAAACTTATCAGATCTCATCCTTTAAATGTGTGCAGTTTATTGTGTGACACTTAAACCTCATTAAAGCGGTTTTTTTAAAAAAGATCACTCTAGCTGTAGTTTAGAGAATGGATTCTAGGGCAGAAAGTCAAATTGCAGGGGAAAATGTCCTCTTCCTCACTCCTCTTGACGGGGTGGTTTTTTCTTTCTTCTTTTTTCTTTTTTTGATGGTTGCAGGGATCAAACCCAGTGGAGCTACCTCCACCCCACCCAGGACTTCTTTTTATTGTTTTTTTGAGACCAAGTCTCACTAAGTTGCCTAGTTGGGGCTTGAACTTGAGATCCTCCAGCCCCAACCTCCAAACTGCTGGGGTTACAGGTGTGCACCACCCCGGCTTCCCCCTTATTCCCCTCACTTTCCTCCTGGCTTTTGAGTCTGGATTATTCCAGTAATAGGTGATGGCGCTTTCTTACTCCCCTCTGCTGAGCATGTCTATAAATCCGATAGCCTAAAGGCCCTGGGAAAGCAGGGTGAAGCTAGTGGCTTGCTTTTTTTCTTCTTGTGGAACCCCAGCCTTTTCTCAGCCTGGGCCACTTAGGCTCAGTGCAGGATTCAGGTGAGGATGGGCAACCCACCTGTCAGCCACGGCAGAGGCCAGTTTCCCCAAATCGAGCTCAAGTGCAGTCTCATCCTATTGATAGTGTTTGCAGAGAGCCGGGCCACAAGAGATGAAGGAGTGTTTGTGGGTGGATCGATGCTGTCCCGACTGGAGGAGCAGTTGGAAGGCACTCAGCATTGTCCTTGGCAGGAGGGCAGAAGGGACTGTGAGCCACGCATCCTCATGGGAGAGGCCTTACTGTTGAGGTCCTAGGCACACGGCGTGTGTGGGGAAGCAAGGCAGAATGGAGGGCAGGCCAGGTGGCAGGAGGAGATCCAGGGCAGGGGGGCCTTGGGTTTGAGCTGTGTGTTAGAGGGTGGAGGAAGGTGCTCCCTCATTATGTGAGGGGCCCTGTGTGTGTGACATGAATTGAAAACTCAGAGATTAAAAACTCCCAGTCCAGGCTCTAGCCCTCGGTCAGTGTCTTCTTTCCTAGAATGTGACACTTGCATTTCTTGTTTTTTTTCCCTATCTTTTCTATCTACAAAGGATTTTTCTATCCATTTACTACACGCAACATAGATGAAATATTTTCCTACTGACGTGACTTTGTCTGGGATTGTCCTTACTCTGTGACCGACGGTTTGGACACAAGTGGCTTCCTTCCTTGCTTTGTATCTGTGCTCAGTGGTCAGAGTGGTGCGAAAGGATGCCAGCAGCCCCAGGGATGAAGCTCCAGCACAGAGAACCGGAGGGAGCAGGTCCCGGGCTCAGAGAAAGGGGAACTGGAAGAGAGCGTTGGTGGACAGGGTACCGAGAGAGGAGGAAGTGATAAAGTAGCAGGAAGTCTTGGGAGGTTGTCACAATGTCCACTTGAAGGTGCTATTCATTGCACTGTTTGCTGTATGAGCGACGGGGGAGAGGGTGTTGGGTTAAACCCTGACAAGCCGAATTCCCTTCTGCCTGGGCCCGCAGGGTTACACCGACTCATGAGGTGGATCTCGCATCTCCTTCTCTGCAGGCAGTCTCAGGCTGCTCCTGATCATCCTGTGCAGGGGCGGAAAGGGGCAGTTATATCAATATGGGAACCTTTGAAAGTTCTGGGCAAGGTTGTGGGTTGACCCGGCGAGGTGTTCTGAACATGAACATGACAGTGTGGAGGACAGCGTGAGGCCTGAAGTCCAGCCTGGTGGTGGTTTTCTGCAATTGAAAGGCCTGACCTTCAGAAGGGCGAGAGGGTGATGGAAGTACATTTCTAGTGACGGGCTGATTGCTGGGGGGAGGGGTGGCATCTCGCTTTACTCATTGGCTGTTTTACGACTTGGTTTTCACTGGTGTGTTCTTGCCTTGCAGGAGCCTGTGTGAAATGCAGCAAAGGAGTATTTGGGGCTGGCCAGGCCTGCCAGGCTATGGGGAACCTCTACCATGACGCCTGCTTCACCTGTGCGGCTTGCAGTAAGTGTGGGTTGTGTGGTGGAAGAAGAGGATTGAGGAGACCGAGGAGGGGGGGAGAGGGAAGAGCATGGGCCTCATGCATGCTCTGCAAGCACTCCACTACTGAGCCACATCTCTAGCCAGAAGTGTCCTTTAAGCTAGATTCTTACCACCAGCACGAGGGTGTTCAGCATAAGGTGATGCATCAGAATGCACTCAAGGTCGCCTGTGACTTTGGCGACAAGTTGCATGGATCCCTGACAACGGGGAGAGGCCTCAGAAGAATGAAGGGAGGGGAATGTTGGGGTTCCCCAAGTCTACCCTGTTGTCAGTTATCTCCCCCGCTGTATGGACCACTCAACTAGAAGGTTGTTCATCCGTCACTTAACTCTATGTGAGGCAGGCCACTTTATAACTCTTTGACTTAGAAGCTGCTGTATGAATGTGAGGTGTGTGTATGTGTTTGTGTTTATGTCATTGTGTGTGTGCATGCATGCCTGTGTACTGGATGCTCGTTAGCACTGTCTCTAGGGGTCTGCTGGTGGTGATGCACATGGCTCGTTCTTAGCAGTGCAGACTGTGTGTGGTGGTGGTGCAGTTGACCAAGGTTGCCTTGTGGAGCTTGACCAGGTGTCTTTTTGCATACTTCAGGGCGTGCATTAAGATTACAGTGGGAAATCAGGAGATGGATCCTTTGGGTCCTTTAATGGCAGCTGCCCCAGTGAAAGAGTCCATCATGCAGGATGGGTGCCAAGTCTGACCAAAGCGTGAATTGTGCTTATTTTCTGATTTCTTCCAAAGATTAATTTTTGGAAAATGTCCCACTGATGTTTTCCAGTTCTGTACCAAGATTATCAGCTCTCGGTGAAAAGGAATCATTACACAGAATGTCAAGGATGAAGGGGTCTTTGTTACTGTCTGGCTGGTGAAGCTCCATCTTGGCAGCTCATTAGAATTACCTGGAAGATTTAAAAACCAGTGAGCTCCACTGGGACCAGCAGAATCAGAAGGGGTGGAACTCCTAGAGGGGGTCAAGGATATTTTTTCAAAGCTCCTCAGGTGCCTCCCGTGGGTGGTTTGGACTGAGGGCACTGATTTAGTGTCTGGCACCTCATTTCCAAACCTCCTGGCAGGGGAAGGGAGGAACCTGCTTGTGGCTGGCTTGTGGCTGGTTTGTGGCATGACCCGATTCCCAGGGCAGAGCTGCCCAGTGTAGGGACCTGACTCCCGACCTGCTGGGCCCTGAAGGTCCAGGCAGAAGCTTGAGTTCTCTCCTTGCACTTGAGTCCTCACTCCAGTTCCCCCTTTAAAACACATGCCTTAAAGTTCAGTTCACGTGTGGGTCATTGTTCACTTTGTAGGGAAAAGCTGGAAGAGATTTTGACCTGGAAATCTGTGTGTCCTCAGTGGAAACACCCAGGAGTTGTGTGGTCTTCGATTGTCTTGGTCTTTGAGCTCCATGACACTGTTACCAGGGGACTGCTGGTGGTGATGCACACGGCTCGTTCACAGCAGTGCAGACTGTGCGTGGTGGTGATGCAGTTGATCATGGTTGCTTTGTGGAGCTTGACCACTTTTACATCTAATAGGCAAATTGATTTCTGCCTTCCGATGGCCTGTACATGTGGCTCTTTGCATTCTCCCAGTTGGCCATGTGAGTTGACATGAGTTCAGTAAAAATCTTTGACTTGTGTTTGTGATTTATCTGAATGGGAGTTGCAATCAGATAGTCCTTTAAAAATTATCTCTGGCCAGGTGCCGTGGTGCATGCCTGTAATCCCAGCAGCTCAGGAGGTGAGACAGAAGGATTGCAGGTTCAAGGCCAGCCTCAGCAAATTAGCAAGGCTCTAAGCAATTTAGCAAGACCCTGTCTCAAAAAGGGCTGAGGCTGTGACTTGGTGGTTAAGCGCCTCCGGGTTTAATCCCCTGTATCTTCCCCCCAAATTATCTTTGACCTTTGATTACCACAGGTATTTATCAATATTTGCTCTGTTTACCAAAAGAAAGCAAATAAATATGAAACAGAGATTGTTTTTCACCTTAAACAGTTACTATTTGAACTAGGGAAGCCTTTGGGGAGAAAAGCTTATGGATGAGTGTCTCGGTGTTCTGGGCTGCTGTAATGTCACAGCACCTTGGACTGAGTGACTTACAAACAGACATTAATTTATCATGGTAATAGAGGCGGGGAAGTCCATTATTGAGGTGCCAGCTGATTTGGTGTCTGGGAAGGATGTCTCTTTCTGGTTCCTAGATGGTCATCTCTGGGTGCTTTTAAAAGGCTGAGCTTTCTGGGGCCTCTCAGAAGGGCACAAGATCCATTCATGAGGGCTTTACCTCCCAAAGGCCCTACCTCCGTACCCACTGTGTTGGAGGTTGGGCTTTCAACAAAGAGATTTTAAGGGGACACCATTGTAGGTGAATCAGCTGGTTCCACCTGTGGCTGCTGGAATAGCGCTCTATTCCTTCATAGAATAGGTTTACATCGTTTCCAGTTGTGGCCAGCGCAGACACTTAATGACAGAGCTGATGTGGGTTTTCTTGATATGTTGGTAGTCTAGTCCCTGGCCCCTCACTTCCTGCTTCCTATCACCGTCAAACTGGATTTCTCTTTCCCACTTCCACACCTGTGGCCACATTGTTCCCTGCAGTCTCTTCTTCTCACTCATTTTGTGCATTTAAAATCTGTCCAGCCTGAAGACCCCACTCAGGTACCTCCTCTCGCAGGAAGGAACCTTGGCTTCTGAATCTGGCACATTTTCCTTGCTTGTTCGTGACGTCATGCTCTGGTGCCAGCACACCAGCCCTAGAACAGAGCTGTTGAAGGAACTGTGCTTGTGCGCAGGCTCAGCAGGGTGCTGTGTGCCATGGGGCAGACACTCCTTCTGTCACCCGCGTCTCTCCATTGTGCGGAGCAGTTGGCATATTGGAGAGCCAGGCATGTGTCGAAGCAGCTTCTTTTGGGCACTAGAAGTCATTTGTCTTTGTTCAGTTGACTTATTGCTGCCCTTTAACTTGGCTTTCAGCAGGGGGAGGAGGCGCCTGGTGCTGTGTTCCAGCTCTGCAGGTCCTCGAGTGTGTCTCAGTGAGCTTCAGCACCATGGAGACGGCACACTGAGGGGCCAGGGAGGGTCCAGTTTACCCCTTTCTTAGAAGAGAAAATGGCGGCAGAGAATGGAGAGACGTTTTTTAAAGAGCCAGGAATGGTGGTGCATGCCTGTAATCCCAGCCACTCATGAAGTTCAAGGCCCAGCCTCACAAGTTCAAGGCCAGCCTCAGCAATTTAGCAAGATCCAGTCTCAAAAATGACCCGAGGTGTGGCTCAGGGGTAAAGCACTCCTGGGTTCAGTTCTCAGTTCAAAGAAAAAAAGAGAGACCTTTTCAAGGTCCAAAACCTGGCAGCTGAACTAGCACCAGCAACCAGGGCTCCTGCCTCTAGGTTTGACTTATATGTTCCCATTTCTCTGACTCATGCAAAATAAGATGTTTTCTTTGTTCTTTTTCATGTTCTGATATTAGAGCCTGATTAGTGTATTTCAGAATATACGTGTATGTGCTTTTTTGGTTTGTTTTTTTGGGTGCTGGGGATCAAACCCAGGGCCTTGTGCATACTGGGCAACTGCTCTACCACTGAGCTACATCCCTAGCCCCCTATACATTTTCTATTTTTTCATTTTGTTTTTCATTTTTAAACTAGAAAATAATCTAGCTTAAAACCTCATATAGGTCTGGAGGTGTAGCTTAGTGGTAGAGTGTATCCTTAGCAAAATGAAGCCCTTGATTAATTCCTTGGCCACACCTCACAAAGAAAACCAAACAATGCTCCGTACTAAGAAAAACTCTACTACCTACATGGTATTTATCCTTAAATTTTTTATTTTCCCTATAGTGCTGGGAATTGAACCCAGGACCTCATGCATGGTAGGCAAACTGTTGTTGAGCCTCTCTTTATGGTATTTAAATCTAGATTATGGCTATATGTGTATATCTGTAGATCTGCACACACATTTCTTGGATTTTATTGATTCGCATTTAAAATATAATGTTGAGGGCTGGGGATGTAGCTCAAGCAGTAGCGCGCTCGCCTGGCATGCGTGCGGCCCGGGTTCGATCCTCAGCACCACATACAAACAAAGATGTTGTGTCCGCCGAAAACTAAAAAATAAATATTAAAATTCTCTCTCTCTCAAAAAAAAAATACAATGTTGACATGCAGTCAAGCTCACACACATTTATAAAGCCGGGCCAACATCTCACTGGTTTGACTGGTAAAGATATAGCAAGGTTCTTAGAGGTTCAAACAGTTTATTACTTAGGTACTGCTATGGTTGGGGTGTTTGTCCCCTCCAAAACTCACCTTGAAACTTAATCTCTGAAGTCATGTGTTGTTGGGATGCAACCAGCATTCGATGAGGTCACTGAGGGTGACGTTCCATGATTGCATTAGTGGCTCTGCATTAGTGGAGGAGACCTGAGCTGATACATGCTTGTTCCATCTCACCAAGAGATGCCCTGTGCTGCCTGGTACTGTGCCAAGCCCTCATCACCAAAAAGGACCTCATCCGATATGGACCTTCGCCCCCAGACCTCCAGAACTGTGAGCTGAATAAACCTGTATTCTTATAAACTACCAGTCTGTGCTTTTCAGTTATAGCAATAGAAAATGGACCAAGACACATACACAACACAAAGAATAGGCCAAAGGTGCCAGTATCCTGGGTCCTTGTCCCAGACACTGAAGGAACGATACAAACCAGAGAGGTTGGGTGACTGTGGCGCAAGTTATGGGATGTTGAGAAACATTGAAGGATGTAGTGAAGTACTCCCACAGCCCGCAGCTCTGTCCTGCATGGAGGGCAGAAAGCCCCCTCCCTCACGAGACAGAGGCTAGTGGAAGGCTCCTGCTCGCGTCTTCCTGGGGCCTGCAAGGCTCTGTGGAGTTCTGCCAGGAGTCAGCAAGCCTTTGCCTATAGGCGGATAGGTACAGATTCTCCTGGGCACCAAGGTGGGTTGGCTGAACA